CCGGATACCGCCCGGATACCACCCGGATACCACCGGATACCACCCGGATACCAGCGGATACCACCCGGATACCACTTGTATATTTTTTGGCCTGGGCAGATGTAAAGACGGTACCAAAGCCTCTGCTCACACTTTTCCTTTCGCGCCAAACGTAGGCTCCAAGTCTTAGGAAAATGAAGCTGTTGCAGGTTCTAAAAGGCAAAAGCCCTGCAATCGCATTGCAGCCCAGATTATCTACGGCTTCTTGCCGGACTTCTTCGCCTTCCGTTTCTCTTTTGTATTGCTGCGTTTCTTCTTTGCAGCGGGTTCCTTCTCTGGTTCTGGGTCCTGGCTCGTTCCACTTTCCCCCTGGCGTTTCTCAGCCTGGCTAGAACTTGCCGCCTTTGAAGACAACGCAGGCTGCCCTGGCTTCGCCGGTGACTCTCCAAGACGCAAAGTCTTCTCGCCATCACTGGACTCTTCAGCCAACTCATCATCGTCCAGAGACTCAGACTCTGCCCCCTCTTTGGGCGTGGCCTGGCGTTCCAGGTCCACTTGTGAACGGCGACGGTTCAGCACCGCCGACAGGGCCAGGAGGAGCTCAGTCGGAACAGGAGACATGTGGCTAGTGTCCCCAGCCAGGACTTGTCCATTTGAAAGGATGGTCATGCCGTATTGGGGCCTCATCTCTTCCACAGCCGGCGTGGGGTCCTTCTGTGACATGGCTTGGGAGTGTAGAGCTACAGGCTATATCCTCTCTGAGCTGTTTGGAAATGCTGTGGTAACAACAGGTGGGCTTTGGTCAGGGTTTCTGAACAAGCAAGACTGCAAGCCGCCAAACAAAGAACAATCATATATATATATATATAGAGAGAGAGAGGCGGAATGCCGCCGGACTATAAAGAACAACCATAAAGGCGGAATGCCGCCACAAAAGAACAGTCATATAGGCGGAATGCCGCCAAACCAAAGAAACAAAAGAAAGAAACAAACAAATTCGGAAACACAGTGCAAGGCGCAGCAACTTTTGCCACAGCTGCCTCCCTCCACGTGGTCTTTTGCCAAGACCTAAGGCTTCAGCCATCTTGCGCTTGCTCAAGCCCTGTGCTGCAGCCATTTGTGCCACCGCCTCTCGGCGCTGCATTTCCAAAGCCAAGCACCGGAGCTCGTCCAGATTTTGCTGTGTAGCCGACGATGACGCTGCAGGCTCCAGGTAAGGGTCATTGACTTCAGGACTGTCAAGGCTTTCCTGCTTTTCGTCCAAAGCGCTTTGAACTGGGTCAGCTGAAGCAGGACTGTTCGGAAGTTCACTTTTCTCCGACCAAGCCTCATCATCACCAATCCTTGGATTTGCTTAAGACCATGAACCATGGACAAAGTAAAACTACATACCCGGAAATGGGTTCACCAAAAGGAAAAGCCAACAAAAACATACTAGCTAAGCAAAACAAGGAATCGGTGTAGGGCACTTTACTTCTTGTTTCATACCTCTTGGCGAGAAAGCAGCACTGTGCTCAACTGCAGGTTGGTCCGACAAAGCATCATCACCAATCCTTGGATTTGCTTATAAGGGCCATGGACAAAGTAAAACTACATTCCCAACGGAAAGGGAAAACCAACGAAAGCATACTGGCTAAGCAAACCCAGGAATCGGTGTGGGCCACTTTACTTCTTCTTTCAAATCTGGACCACCGGAGGAAGCAGCACTGTTCTCAACTGCAGTTTTGTCCGAAGAAGCATCATCACCAATCCTTGGATTTGCTTAAGGGCCATGGACAAAGTAAAACTCCATTCCCGAAAATGGAGTCACCAAAAGGAAAAGCTCCAAAACATACTGGCCAAGCAAAACCAGGAATCAGTGTTGGGTGGCTAGACAGTGACTCGGGCGAGCACGTTCGTTCAGCTGGAGACGTTGGTGAGGGGGTGGCAGGGACCGTGGGCTCGGCTTCCTCAGTAGGGGAATGCGTGGGGAAGGCAGGGAATGTATCGTGCTGCAAAGCCGGCTCAGATGATGGAGACTTAGGCTCTTCAGCTTTGTCCCCAATCGTCGGCTCTAGCACTGGCTCTGCAAAGGCTTCCAAGCCCTCCGCGCGCTTCCTTTGTCGACGACACCATGGTGCGGAGTCCATGTAGAATCTATATTATATATAGACAGATGTCACATTGGCTTCACAACTGAGTTGCCGTCACAGCTTGCTTTGCTTGAGGCTTGAGGTTAGTAGCTAGCATATATTCTTCAACCTTTCAAATTGACCATAGACTTCATTACCCAAAGCTTCATCTTCAAGAAAGCAACCAATCTTGAACAAAAGTAATTGCGGCCACTCATGCAAGTGCATGGGAAAACCACCACAAGGCGGAATACCGCCAAACAAACAAACCACAACCAGGCGGAATGCCGCCAAACAAACAAACCACAACAAGGCGGAATGCCG